GTTCTTGAATTACACACAAAGTTAGATGTAATTTTCTTTTCTAAAAAGCACACAGTCTTTTATTATCCAAAAGATTCACAAAGAAAGGCTTAAAGATAAAAATTCAACCCAAATCTAACTCTAATTTAAATCAGAAATCATCTAAGCATTCACTTTCTCTAACCTAAGAGACTTAACCTAAATCTTAGGATTATTATATGATTCAAAGCCACATTTGTTCAAGGATGAATCTATATCAACAGACAGTAAAGTATACTTTTCACTGATAGTCAAATTACATATATTCAGGTTCTACTATCATCTCTTAGTTAAAGCAAGGAATTTTGCTCTTGAATTATACACAAAGTTAAATGTAAATCTCTTTCCTGAAATAGTCCTATACTATCCAAAAGATTCACAAAGAAAGGTCAAATCTAACTCTAATTTAAATCAGAAATCATCTAAGCATTCACTTTCTCTAACCTGGAGACTTAACCTAAATCTTGGAATTATTATATGACTCAAAGCCATATTTGTTCAAGGATGAATTTATATCAACAGACAGTAAAGTATACTTTTCACTGATAGTCAAATTACATATATTCAGGTTTCACTATCATCTTTTAGTTAAAGCAAGGAATNNNTGCTCTTGAATTATACACAAAATTATTTGTAATTCTCTTTCCTGAAGTAGTTCTGTACTATCCAAAAGATTCACAAGATTCAAATCTAATCCTAAATTAAATCAGAAATCATTTAATCTGTTCTAACCTATCTTCCATATCCATTACAAAATAATTTGAATTATAAAATGAATTTGAAACCTATCTTTTTCTTCGCACAAAGTAAAGCCTTAGATTTCTATTTAGTTTTAATTCTACGCGAAATTTGTTAAAACATAAGATGAAACAAGTCGTACATACGATGTTCCCTGCAAAGTTTCACCAAGAATTATCGGTTATCGATTCGATCTCTCGAGGCAAGAGGCCCCCCCCCCCTCCCTTCTATTGGACAAAGTGGCACGGTTGAACGAGAAAGAAGAAGAAGAAAATACAATTTCCGTTGAACACGTTGAAAGTCTGTCGAGTTACGGCACTCGAGCAGTGGCGGATAATTGCGTTCCCTGCCGGAACTTCTCGCATTAACTCCTCTTTCAAAATTGTTACCACTGCTCGAAGTAACATCGAAAGACCACGGACTCGATGCCAACTTCATCTTTTCACCGATCTCTAAGCTCCAAGTTTTGAGGGATACGTTAGATGATTAATGAGTGGAACAGGAACAGGATTTCAGGGAAACTGATTCGGAACGAAATCTGATTGCAAATTGTCGTTGGATTGTTAAATTAAAAAAATTAAAAAATATATATAAATATATAAAAAATATTAATTAAATTAAAATTACGTAAGGCTGTTGAATTAAATAAGTGAAATTACAAAACTTTCATTACTATCAACAATTATCTTCATCGTTCTCATCCTCTTCAAAATAAAATTAAAAATAAAAAACTCTGTTAGGATTTATGCTCATTTTAAAATTTTTCCAATGAAAATTTTTCAGTACAAAATGATCAGTATTCTTATTTATTCTCATAATAATATTCTTATGAATATTATAATTCTTGAAAAGAGTAGATTGGCGATTTGAATTCCACGCGACAATTAATTTCGACGACAATTCGCAAAACAAATTCACAGAGGAAAATTTATTATCCCCCGATGTAGAGATGATCAAACGAGGGAGAAGAGTAATAAAGAGAGAAATTGCAGGGCCAGTCTCGAGAGAAAAATCAGAAACGAGGGAACGGTCGAAGAACCGTTTGCAGGGAAATCGCGCTGGTATTCGACGAACGTATGCGAAACTCGTTGCTTAAACTCGCTCAAAGGAGGAGGCTGTCTCTCCTCGGAAAGTTGTGGAAATTAATCCGCGCAGACTACTGCCTTCGCCTACTGCAGATATATTTTATTCGCTCGAAAAATTCCCTCGAAGATCGTTCCACCATTTTTCGAATGGAATATTTCACCATATTTGAAATATTGATTGGAAACGTTAATTGAAAAATTAACAAATTGTTGACATCGAATTATGGTTCGACGAGTTGTAAATAATAATAGAGTCGCGTATTGCGATTCTTAATTAAAATTTTATTTCCCCGAATCGGTAGGGATTTCAGGAGGATGTTTAATAATAAATCGTTAAAAATTCTCGTTTTTTACGATTAACGTTAAAAGGTGAACAAGGTGACAACGTTCTTCGATGTTTGAGGCGTACACACAACAATGCCGATTATCTCGATTAAAATGATGGAAACTGTATAGGGCTGTATCATGACTCCGTAATGAGGCATGAAAACGATCCTGTTGTTGGCTGCGTGGGCGTGTATCAAATATCTCGTTAATGGCGATCCAGACAGGAAGGAGAAGAATCGACAACGCCGCATAATACCCGTGATTTACGATCGTTGGAACGTCTCGAGTTCGTGTCCACCGTGTATATTATCGTAATGGAAAGGAAAAATGAGCCGATTATTTTTCCACCATGAAAATTTAGAGGTTCGTTGGGAAAGCGTTGGATATAAAATGAAATCGATCGATCTTTATCCTTTGAGTGATGAAATTTTTTACGAGATTAGACAGATATTTCAAAGTTCTGGACGATTAATCGTAATATATCGAGATATTTTGAGTTTTAAATAAATATGAAAGCTTTAATGTCCTCTTTTAAAATCTAGGGATCCCTAGATTCGAGGAGATAGAATTAACGAAATAAAATTCTACGTGTCCTTTAATTCATTTTTCTTTAATCAACTACATCTAAACTGCTCTTAAAATTTTATCCAATTTTTACCATAGCTCTTCTAAAATTTAGACAATTTACTAAATTTTTAATTCAATCAGATTTATCAATTTTCATCTTGAAAAACGAAAGGAGAATAATTGCTTAATCATTGGAGAAGTATTTTCTTTTCCTGGATTAGGGAATGCAATCTAATCACTCAAACGAAAGCAAAAAATTGAAAAAAGGGAGCGCGTGATAGAAAAAGATGGACGACTTTTTCGTTGATCTCACTTTGCACAAACACTTTGCGACAGAATATACTATACTATACATTCGATCTACCTGCAACGGATAAAGAAGGGCTTGTCACGGATTTCTATTTAGCGAAAAAAAAAAAAAAAAAAAAA